GTACCAGTGCTGGGGCTGAACCCCAGGCCGCCTGCGTCCCGGGCTAGTGCGCATCACTGTCAACAGTCACAGCTCTTAGGGCCTCAGGATCACCGGGGGTTTCCGTGAACTGTAGACTTCGAACCACTTCTCTCAAAATCCTGCGGGTATTGATTTAAAATGCAGCTTTCCTGGCATTATGGGACTTCCCGCAGTGGAATATTTGCGGTATGGCCGAGAAACCTGTGTTACTTACCCATTTCCAGATGATGTTATGCCCCTGTGCCGAGAACAGGTTTTCTGGGGATACCAGGAAACTGCGACAGCCTCTACTTAGATACTCCCAAAGGAAGCTCTTCGCCCACCAAGTTGCCCCGCCAACAGCAGGGCAGAAGTTTGAAAAGGCATTTGGAAAGCTGAGCAAAATCCCTCTTTTTCTGACTTCTAACAAGAGGTTCTAACTTCTTGGAACAAAACAGAAAATGTTTGTTTTTTTCTCCCCTGACATCTTTGGAACTTGTATTTTTTTAATTTGATGAGCAATCTACGCTTTCATTCAAGCAATTAATTACACCATTCTCCTTAGTGGAGAAAATGGAAGTGAATACTAAGAAAGTTTTGTTCTCCTTCTGTGACCTGTGGACAGTATGCTCTGTTCCCTAAGCTTTGAAGCTACTTTTTCGTTATCACTCATTTTTTATTGTTAAGTATTTCAGAGTATAAATAGCAAGCGAGAAACCACGCGATGACTCCTGTATCAGACCCAGGCCTCAGCGCCCCCTCCGCCGTCCCCCGCGCGGCCTGCAATCCCGGTGTCCAGCACCGGCCTGGGCCTCGCCCCTGCTCTGCCTGGCGGCAGGCCCTCGTGCTTCTGCTGCCCAGGGTGACCACGCCCTTGGCCTGGCACCTGAGCCATTCCCTCCTCCCCCGCCTGGTGCACCCAGGCTGCCCGGCAGCACCCGAAGGGTCCCGGCTCCTTGCCCAGCTTTCGGACGGGGTCCACCTGCCCACTGCGAGGTTTGGGTCTGGCGTCAGGGGAGGGGTGTCCTGCCGGGGGACCCCGATGGCTCAGTCCAGCAGGGGAGGCACACTCGATCTGACTCAGGGTGAACTCTGACCTGGGAAACAGGAGATGGCAGGGAAGGGATAGATTTGCCCGCTGTCCCATCTGCCTCCCCGGACGAGTTCTAGGCACCCTTCTCTCGCAGAACATCTTGAGAAGCCTGAGCGCACACGGGGGACTTCGCGCAGACAGCGCGCCCTGAGCGCGCCTCGCCCGTAGCCCTGGTCTCGGGCCGCTGCTCGCCGCTGGCCCCGCCTCGCCTCGGGCAGGGCCGGGAGGCCTGGCCGGTCCACAGGGAATCCTCCCTTCTACGTCCAGAATGCAATGCAAACCGTTTATTTTTGTGTGTGGAGCACTCTGCCTGAGCTCATGCTAAACTTAGCCTTCCTGACATTTTTATATGCAGTTTCATGCTTTATACTCTTCAAACAGACGGGTAAGAGTCTCTATCAGTGTCCCCACTGGTGAATATAACTGCTTAGGTCTTTGTTTTTCTTCTCTTTGTATATAAATAAAAGATGAATGAATTGACAATCATCTCCCATGGATTTTCAAAATATTTCATAATATCTTGCCAAGACTTCTGCTCTATTTAAATTTACTTTTTGTAGGAGGGAGGACTTTAGCTTGGTCATAATATTAAAAGCTTTAATAGATATCTCTAATTTTTCTCTATGCCAATAAAGTGTCACCATTTTAAGCCCATCTTTTACTTTGATTTTTGACATTATGTCGGCCTATATCTGTGTCTATATTTCTAAATTTATATATAAAATATTAGGCCTACCTAATTTTAATACATTTTGGACATTGAGTTCAAAATTGCAGGCAATTCAAATTACAGCATGCAATAACTTTCCGATTTAGTGCTTTTAAAACTTCATGAACTCTCCCGTTTCTGCCTCTGTGTTGGTACAGTACCGTTCTGTTAGGAGCCTTACACCTTGTAATACTTAGTGGTGTCAACCAGGTCTATAAAAAGGAAGTTCTTTCTCCACAAACCAATATTCAAAGGCCCATTTAGTGATGCTTAGTGCAAGTGGAGTGCACATACACTAAGTTCACAGATTTCTTGAAAGAAAATAAACAGGCTTGGTGCTGTGTGCAGAGGACTGGGACACATTACAGGTCTGTGGAAGTCGATGACAGGGAAGCCAGCTCAGTGCTCTCTGCCATGGAAACAGCACTAACACACGAAGGCGCAGGGTTCCGAGGCCCCGAAAACCTTCCCTCAGCTGACGGCGTCCAGAATCCTTGGGAAGAGAATACGAACCCAGTCACCCTAATCATGGCGACCACTCCAACGGGCACCGCACATTTGTGGGTGCAGTCAAGTAACCTATAAAGAATTATGAAAACCTATGAAATAGCCTGTAGAACTCCAGAAAGAAATAAGGCAGATACTAAAATGAAATGTCACGATGAACTTCCCCCGCTGCTTCGGACTAAAACTGGTGCTTGGCTTCGTTGATGCGAAGCGCGGTGCGTTCTGCAGGCCTCGTGGTGCCGGGATCGAGCCTGTCCCCCGCCCCATCGCAGAGGCGGAGCGTGGCTGAGCACCGACGGTGTCCAGCAGCGCTTCGCTAAGTAGCTGCTTTCCCGCGTCCCTCTGGCTAGATGAAAAAGAGCCTCCTCTCTGTCAAACCATTCTGGCCGTAATAGGAAAAAGATTTGAAAAGAGACCAGATTTCTCTCAGAAAGCTCCACTCTCGCGAGCCGGCGCCTGCCTTCTGCCCCACGCCCAGCCCGCCCAGCCCGGACCGCGCCGGCCTCGGCCTCCGCCGCCTCGGCCTCTCGGGGCCCAGAAGGCGGCGGTGCGGCCGCGCGGGGCGCGTGGGGCGTTGGTGCCGCTGCCCCGAGCGCCGCCGCCCCGAGCGCCGCGAGTTTGCAGGCCTAGGGCTCTCGGGGTGTGGGGCTGCGGTTCGGCCCTCCCGCAAGCCGCGGGCTTAAATACTGTAATTTGGATGGGACAGGTGAGAGCTCGTGCCCTTGACACACGCGGGCTCCCAGTATTTACGGAGACTCAACATCCCGGGTGCCACGCGCGCACTGGCGCGAGGGTCGCGCGCTCCTTACCCAGCTTCTGTCGCCCCTCCGCGCTCTGGGCACCAGGGAGCCCAGCCTCTGCCCGACGCAGCCGACGGGGATGAGCGAACCTGGCGAGTGGCGACCCCTCAGCCTTTTTCCTGTCAAGCTTCTGTGGACTCCATGTTTGGGTAAATGTAACAAGCACTTTTTTTTAAGATGTCATTTACTGTGTCTACAGGAGATGAGGCGTTTGCCACAGTGACAGCCCCCCAAAGACCTTTCCGACATGAGGGTCATATGGTAAAGTCACCCAGAAAACTGGAGCTGAAGAAATAGGAACATTTCCCAGTAAAGCAAAATAGTGAAAAATGTGTAATTTTCATAGCTGTGCTTTTATAATGAAGCAGAAAGTATTTTCATTACAATATAACTTTTAAGTGAGTTTTTTGTGGGGCTCAGAACAAGCTCCTCTGCGCATAAAGAAAAGAAAGACTCAGTGCAAAAGTGTGTGCCGTTTGGTGCATTTGGAGACCGTCAATGTCAGCTACGATTCTAATTTTACTTCATGCAGCAGGATCAAAAGATGTTTTGGGAGCAGGGTAGGGGGTGCAGAGATGAAGTGAAAACGGCAAAAAGTGCCTGTGTTGAAGCGGAAATATGGAAACAGTATAATATCTTTTGTAAATGTTTGACTACTTATATAATACATTTTAAAGAGGTCACATTATTTTTCAGGGAGATTACATTTCTTGAGTTTGAGCCACAATGTTTGAGGATCATGTGTGATTTTGTGGGATAATTATTGCGGTGGATACAAAGAAGCCCCTCCTCCCTTTACAGCCTTGAGAACAGAACCCCGCGGTGCCCCCTCCGACGGCCTGGCCGACGCGGCTCCGGGGACTGCCCTCCTGCTTCCTCCAACACTGACGCCCTGTCCGCGGGGCCAGGGAGTTCCCTCTCTTTCCCCCGGGCACTGTCACCTCCCAGGGCTCAAAGCCAGAGCCACCAGTCCAAAGAGGCTACAACTGCCTACAAAATCCAGGGGACAACTGGGAATTTCTTTGCTCACCTCTCAATTGTACTGTTTCCTGTCAACTCTGACCTTGGCATTATAAATTGAAGACCCAAATCTATCAGATTTTATGTCATAAAAAATTATCGATTCCTTTCCACTGTATGCTTCCTCTGCAGCGTCCCTTGACAAAGGGGAACGCGCTCTTTGATGTGTAATGGCACAGACCTGGTTTATTTTACTCGGCCTCCTCAGAATGTAAGATCACTTACCCGAGCAGGATCAGAAATTCCTGGGGTGGCCAAATTGCTTTCTTCTCCCCAATAAAAAAGATAGCAAACGATAAATGCAAAATCCAGGCACTAGCTCTGATGTTGTGCCAATTGGCTGAGAATTGACAGATGGCACCCAGCACAGTCCTTGGCACACAGCCCAGTCCTCGGCACACAGCAAACATCGAGCAGCACTTCAGTGTTCAATGTGCCGCTCACTAGCTATCTCGGAAAATGGACCCCTGTTCTTCCAGGAAAAGGAATTTTTCCTGAGCTCTCGAAACTGAGAGCTGTATAAATACTGAACAATTGGGGAAATAGTTAGTTTTCTGTCATTCACGGTTTTCAAGAACTCTGGATGACCCCAAACAGGGAGAGGACAGGGCAGGGGAGGTGATACCTGGTAACGCTGAGATCCCAACATCACGAATGCAGCGAGCCTGCCCGGGGGGTGGGGCAAGGAGCCTGACCAGGCCGACGGCTGGACAGGCCGGCTGGTCCTGATCCCCTCCCCATTAAATGCTCGCCGTTTTAGGATGCATCCCAGTCACAGAGAAAGAAAAGGGTGAGCAAGTTATTTAAATAGTTTAATCAGAGCAGTTTTACAATTCTAAAATTAACAAGCAGACTTGTAATAAAAGAGCTCCAACATTTGCAAAATGACTTTGCTCCCACTCTGAATCTGCCTTCCTATTTGTAAAGACAAGCATTACATTTAAAAGGACTCAAAATGGAGTGATTGATTTTATCATCTGTGTTTTCTGATGCAACTGATGAACTCCCTGAATGGATATTGCTTCAGCATCGGTATTAAAAAATGGCTGGACGAGAAGTCCTTACTCAACAGCTGGTCACACAGGTGGCAGAACAAAGAGAAAAGCCCAGGACGGCATCAGGCCCCCGTGGGCCAGGCTGTTGGTGGGCGGCGCTGGCTCCGGACCCATGTGGCACCCTGGTCAGCGCTTTGCCTACAGAAAGATCAGGATGGACATTCTCCCACGGGGACCGGCTTGCTTTGAAGGTTTCCTCTGTTTGCTTAAACTTGCATAATAGACATGCAATGAGTTATTTCTTTTGAAAGTGTTTTTTGCAGTCCTTTGTTTCATACAAAGATTTCATAGAGTTGCAGGGTTGCATCGGAGCGTCACCAAAATGAGCGCAGGAGCAGGTGGGGAGGGTGTGAGTGAATTCAGCGGATGAGAAGAGCCCCTCGTCCTGAGACAGGCCACCTGTCCCTTTAAAAAGTGCACAAACTGCTTTTCTTACCCCTCCCCCACCAAAGAAAAAGGTATGGGGAAAAAATTCACAAAATCAACCTAAGAAAAAAAAGTGGACCTAAAGAAAATAAAGGTGTTTTTCATGCACGCATCTTCTGCATAGCTCAACCCACACATAGTTAAGGCACTATTTCCCTTCAAAGCGGCGCCCGGCACTCGGCGGTGGACACGCGACCCCCGGAGTCCCTTCCAGGATGGAGAAATGCAGAGGCCGAAGGGCATGGCCGCTCCTCTGTGGCCCTCCCGCCTACCGAGACGCCGGGCATCTCAGAAGGACGTCCGTCCGACTTATGACTGAGTGTCCAGAATGGCTTTCCTTCCAGAGTTCCTATGTTGTCTGCATATGAGTTCAGATTACTCTTTAGTCTTTATTCTCAATGAAAACACACAAGGTGGGGGGAAGCCCAGTCGGTCTTCAGAAACACAGCTTCACTGCTCCCAGAAAGCATGACAGCTGGCATGTCGCACAATCAGCAGGATGTTTGTGAGAGACGGAGAGCATCAGAGAGACCAGAGAGGAATCAGAGAGTTGGAGAGGGAGGGCGCGACCGAGGAGCGGGTATTCGGGCTTCGGAGGTGACCTGGGTCTGAGTTAATTCAGCTGGTCTTCATACTGTTTCCGGAAGCAGTCCCCTGCTGGGAAAAACTCCCAGCATCTTTCTTGATACATCTTCCAGACATAAGATTCCTGTAAAAGTAAAGATAATGCATTAATTTCATGTGTTTCCCCAGAATCTGTGTGTTCCCACCAAATATAAGACAGGAACTCACACTGGTTATTACAGGTATCACATAGCCACACGCATGCACACAGGTGTCGCCGGAGAGGCCCAAGTTCACTTAGGTAGTTCCTAACTGTTCCAGACCTCACTTGCTTCTAGTAATAAGCAAATAATCTTCACCCTGTCCATAATGTAATAATGAAAACCCCATTTGTGGTACATGATCCCAACGGTTCTTTTAAAAATATATGAATCCTTCAAATCAAATCATTAACAAGTAGAAGTGAATTTTGTGGAGAATTTCAAATAGTACCCACATCAAAATCACAACTAAACTACAGAACCACCATCATTCAGGACTGCCTGACATCTAGCTGAAGGGAAGTCCTGCAACTGGGGGCTTAGAGATGAAGCCACAAGGAGACTGGTAGGAGGCGCAGAGAGCAGAACAGGCTGGTCCCACACCCACGTAGGGCAGATAAAAATCAAGAGGAATATCTGGGCTGCAGAGGTCCCCCTGCGGAGCAAGGGGTCCCAGACCCACACCAGACCCTCAGCCCGGGGTTCCAGTGCCAGGAAGAGGAGTCTCTACAACATCGAGCTATAAAAACCAGTGGGGATGGATCCTGACCCAGTACTCATCTGGTGAGAACATCATCCCGATGTGCCAAGGTTGTAGGATCGATCCTCAGTCAGGGCACATACAAGAAGCAACCAATGAATGCTTAAGTAGAATACAAATGATGTTTCTCACTTCCTCTCCCTCTCTCTAAAATCAGTTAAAACAAAACACAAAACAAAAAACAGTGTGGACTGAGGCTGAGGGAGAGGGAGGCTTCTGGAGTCCCAGGCAATTCCTCTTCAAGGGCCTGTGCACAGACTTAATGCAGACTCACTCCCTCCGAACTCCAGCGCTGCGGCAGCAGCTGCAAGGGCGCCAGAGACATGTGAGGGGGAACTGATGTGTCTGGCGCCAAGGCGAGAGCAGGAGGTAGCGTTCTCCCAGACAGAGTGCCGGCAGGGGCCATCGTTCCTTTGATGTTCACTCCCAGCCACAAAAGCCAGCAGGCGGTGCCATATCTGAGACTCCATCAACCAGGCTCACACTGTTTACCTCACCCTGGTGATTCCCTGAGACTGTGCCCCACCCAACTTTTGGTCCCACCCAAACTGTTTCCAGGGGCTTTCCATACAAATGGCTTGTCGCAGCTCATGCTTCAGATTTTCCAGAAATCTCCTGAACAAGCAGCATCTGGCCTCAGTGTGCCCTGTACTCTTCTTAGCGGCCTCAGGCCTGGTGCTAGCAGCAGCTGGCCTTGGTTCACTGCTTGGTCTCTCCTGGGCACCTCCATGACCAGTGAAAATAACAGCCACCTGCAGACCACACTGTAGTTCATGCCCAGCAGCCCCGAGCAGGGAACGGGGAGGCCCAGAGCCAGCATACCAGGTGGACAGCTTCAGACCACATCGAAGCACCACCTAACCACCTCCACAAGTTACACTCAAGGGCAGACTCAGCGGGCACCAGAGCCCCAGTGAAGTAACTCCTGCTCTGTGGGATCAGCGCCTGCTCAGCTGGTCCTCCACAGTGGCGGGAGGTCGGTGGACACAACCAGTCCTTGCAGCTAATTGGCCTGGGGGTAAATCCCTCCCATTGACCAACAGCAGTAAAGGTTAAACTATGAGAGGAGGGTGTAGAAAGCGCACATAGGGGGTGTGCACCTCCAGGGCCCAGCTTGGGTGATCAGGGAGACTGTATTACTGGACCCTACAGAACACATTACATAAGGCCACTCTACCAAGCCAGGGGGACATAGAAGCTCTACCCAATGCACAGAAACAAACACAGAGAGGTGGCCAAAATGAGGAGACAAAGAAACACATCCCGAATGAAAGAACACAACAAAACTACAGAAGAAGAACTAAACAAAAGGGAGACAAGCACTCTACTAGATGCAGAGTTCAAACCACTGGTTTAAGGATTCTCAGTGAACTTAGAGACCAGAGGAACTTAGAACTTCAACAAAGAGATAGGAAATATAAAAACAGAGATAAAAAACATAAAAAAGAGCCAGTCAGAAATTAAGAATACATGAACTGAAATGAAGAATACATTACAGGAAATCAACAGTAGAGCAGATGAAGCAGAGGATCAAATCAGAGATTTGGAAGATAAGGAAGCAGAAAACACCCAATCAGAACAGCAAAAAGAAAAAAGAATCAAAAAAAAAAAAAAAAGTGAGGATAGTGTAAGGAGTCTTTGGGACAACTTCAAGCATACCAACATTTGCATCATGGAGATGCCAGAAGCAGGAGAGAGCAAGAAATTGAAAACCTATTTGAAAAAATAATGACAGAAAACTTCCCTAACTTTGTGAAGTAAACAGGCAAGTCCAGGAAGCACAGAGTCCCAAATAAAATAAACCCAAAGAGGCCCACACCAAGACATAGCAAAGAGAGAATCTTAAAAGCAGCAAGAGAAAAGTAATTAGTTATCTACAGGGAGCTACTATAAAACTGTCAGCTAATTTCGTAACAGAAATTGGCAAGCCAGAAGGAATGGTAAGAAATACTCAAAATAATGAAAAACAGGGATGTGCATACAGCCAGGATTGCTCTACTCAGCAAAGCTATCATTTAGAATCACAGGACAGACAAAGAGCTTCCCAGACAAGAAGCAGCTAAATGAGTTCACCACTGCCAAACCAGTATTATACAAAATATTAAAGAGTCTTCTTTAAGACGGAAAAAAAGAAAATAAAAATATGAACAATAAAATGGCAATAAATGCAATTGAATCTAAAAAACAAAATGAACAAACAAGCAAAACAGAAACAGACTCCACAGATATAGAGAACATTTTGACAGTTGCCAGATGACAGGGGGCTGTGGGGCGTGGGTGAAAAAGGTGAAGGGATCAAGAAGTACCAACTGGTGGTTACAGAATCGCCAAGGGAATGCGAAGTGCAGCCTCGGCTATGCAGTAAATAAGATTCTAGTAACTATGGATGGTGTCCAATGGGGGTGAGACAAGGTATGCAATGTCTAACCTCTGGGGTGTACACCTGAAAATAATGTCATACTGTATGTCAACTACAATTGAAAAATTAAAATAAACCAAAAATAAAAGAATTTCAAAAAGGTTAAGGAATATATTACACATTTACTATGCAATTATTTTTAACTGACCATAACACTGTGGTTTGATGTTCAACTGAAATCATCTTTTATCGGATTAAGAAATCAAGGACAATATAATGATCAAAACCCAAACTTAACATTTTCAGCTAATAAAAGTTTATTTTTATGTGAACTTTTACTTTTCTACAATGATACGCTTTGCACACTCACCCAGGATAACAGGGATTTTATATTAAGATGTCATGACTAAAATCTGAAAGTAGTTCCCTGTCTTAATGTTTAATGGACTCATCTTGTTCCAAAGCGCAGGGCTTCCCTTTTCATCATTTCTTTCCAGATGTGCTCACAGTTTACCTACCTGTCCTGTGTGCTCGGTTTCATCTTTGTTTATGAGATACATCAGAAAAAACCTGCAGAGACAGAGAGGCCGATCAGAAGGGACTGCGTGGACCTACTGACGTAAACAGACCACCGTGGGCCGGCTGTTCACGCCGGCACGAGAGAAAGGAATGGGTCAAAAGTGCGAAATGAAAACATGCCATGAGGATACAGAGCTTGACCTTCTTTAAAAATATGTTTTCAAAGGAGCAACACTGTGTGCACAGAGACAGTCACACCCCGGGGGCCACCGGGCGGGCGGGTGGCCCAGCCCCCCTGAGCGTGTCCACGGGTACTCCCAGGGCAGGAACCACAACCCCATCTGCAAAACTGAGGGTTCAAAGTGTGAACAGAAGTGCCAGTGTCACACCACTGTGCCTTCCAGGGCCACTGTTTTGGCTACTCTGCCTCTCCTCTGCTTGATGTTAAAATTGGGTCAGATACTGACTAAAGGCAATATTTTACCAAATTTCAGTTAGAGCCAGCCCTGAGTAACAGCCCAGTTTCCACTTTTTTTTTTTTTTAAAGCAACATTCAATGTTTCTGATGGTGCGGAGGAGATCTGTGGGTGCTCAGAGAGAGGGAGGCCCCCTCTCTCAGAAGCAGCTGGTGGTTCCTATGGCAACGGGCAACAACAGGCAAAGGCTAGCTGCGGCTCTCCCGCTCTCCGGCTCTCCCAGGGCTCGGCTCTCCTCCTGCTCTTCCTGCCTGCCCTCCAGGCCCTGTTCTAGAAGGAAACATTCCCAGGACAGACTGCGGCTCCCTCCCCTCAGTGCACCTTCTCCTGAGGGAGGAGGGCCCTGCAGCAGGCAGGGGGGTCCAGGGGGCGTGGGGAGAGGCTGAGGGCTGGCGGGCACACTCACAGGTAATTGGCCAAGTTGTGCTCCTGTAAGGTGTGGGTTTCAAAGCCATGTGGCACCGTGTCGAAGTAATCATTGCCTATCCCGCAGATGAAGCATTTGGTCTAGAAGACAAGGAAATACGGAAATGTCAGTGTTCAGAAAGTAGAACAAGAGGACCCCACCCACCACCAGGGCAGCGGCTCTGTTCACTCCGCACATTCAAAGGTCCGCATGGCAGGAGCCAGGCGCGGGCCCATCACCCATCCACACCTCTGCGCCACATGGCACCTGGCCGTGGGCTTAGCCACACAGGTATGCAGGGGCCAGCAGCAGGCAGCGAGCGGGTGCGGGAGCGCACGGGCTGCTGGCCGAAGGGCAGTGCGCGCATTTCCTTATCATCTCCAGCCACGGTGGGAGCGCTGCATCCGGGAACACGCCTGCTCATGATGCTGAGACAGGTTAGCTGGGCAGGACTATATGTGTGCTCCTCCGAATGTGCGAACCTGGTACCCACCTGGACCACGTCTGATGACAGTGGGAAGGGACACACGACCTCCCTCGGGGACGGCGCCAGTCACTGACTCCGAGCAAACTGCCACGTGCCAGGCACTGTGCCGGGCGCACGGTTCACCAGCGGACACGCGTGAGGATACCTTCCAACGCCAGGAATGGGGCGCCCGCTCCTTCTGCCCCACCCCGTCCTAACCACGCCCCCGACACGTGGCCTGCAGAGTGGTGCTGGTGGGGCCTGCCCCTGCCGCCTTCCCCACAGAGCCCGAGGACAGTGGGCCTGGCGTCCAGGGGAGGGGGAGGGCCCTGCGCCAGCGCAGGGTGTTCTACGCCTTGTCCTCACGTGGCTGCAGAGACTCACGTCCCCTGCACCCTGGACACTCCTTCATGGCCCTGGAGGCCGAGCCAGGCCGCCCGGGACCGCAGGGCCTGTAACTGGAGACTAAGATCGCTTACGGAGTTCCCTGTGGCGGCCCGGCCTTCACCCCGCCAGGGGCCACGGTGCCGCTCTCCCCTGCCCTGCGCTGCTCTGTGTGGCCTCGCTCTTACTCGGTGTCCCTGAGCTGCACCCTCAGGGCTCATCCTGGGAACAAGGGCTCGCCCCTGCTTGCTCCACACTCTTCATCCTTTGCGCCTTGCCGGTCGCTACGGCTTCCCCCACCAGCTCCTTAGGGCACTTCTTAGCAGAAACCTCCCTTCCCCCACCTTGAAAATGCTGCTGACCGCTGTCCCACCCCTGGCCTTGCTGCTTGCCAGTTCACTCCCAGGGTTTTAGGCTGCAGCTACCTGTTAAAAGAGCATCAGCCCAACCACGGCACCGCCCTGCCGCACCCTCCCCTCCTCCCCACAGGGCAGTTCCATGGTGAACACCTCCGGGTCAGCGGGCCTCGCCCTCCCTGGCCCATCACCCAGTGTAATACTTCATCCAGAGCCACCTAAGCTTCCAAGAAAAAAGTCCTCACATCAACCTCCCTACCACCCGAGGCTTGGCACACACCCCCTCCGGTGGTGACATTCTCACAGACCCCCGCCCCCTCCCCTCCGTGGACGGGGCCCTGGTGATGTGCTCAGTGGCACAGCGGGGAGGGAGGCTGCCCAGGGGGCCTGCTCTCTCCCTCAGAGCCAGAGCTCTGCGACTTCGGAACTCGGCCTGGGGTCCCTTCCTGCCGGACCCCTCTGATCACCCGCGGGGGCGTGAGACCCCTGCTCTCAGGGCTTCCTCCCGCAAGGGTCCCCACGCCGCTGAGCGGTCCCGTCACTCTCTGTCAGTGAAGCCCACAGCTCTGAACGGACGGTCTTCCGCCCCGAGGGGTGGACGGCGCCCATGGTGTCGGCGTGGACCCAGGGCCCCGGCAGCAGCCCAGCACACCGCTCAGCCGGGTCTGCGGCCAGAGGACAGCAGCCCCAGGAGGCTGCACAGCTCTCCCTGCCCCCCCCCACCCCGCACTCGCGGAGGCCATGACAAATGCAGCGGGAACGGGCTGCTCACATCCCCAAGCAAGTCACAAACAGGGACTGACCTCCATGTCTTCTTTCACTTGCTCCTGTTGGTCTCTTAGTTCTCCAAACGCATCAATGATTAAACCTGGCGTTAAATGAAGAAACGATTTAATCTCTATCAACCAGATAATCATAATTACATTCACAAACCCTGCCAAGGAAGGGAAATGTGCAGCCACGCCAGGCAACGCTCAGAAGTTGGGGGCGCCGTGCGCACGCCCGTGCTCCCACCAGGCCCAGGCGCTCTCTGGAGCGGACATGCCTGCAGTTACGCCAGCCTTCCCTGAAAGGGGTTACAAATGAGGCCACAGGCAGGAGAAACCTTCAGCTACCTGGGCAAATGCAGATCGTGCTACAACCGAGTTCATGCTGAGAAATGGCGGCTGAGATTTGAGCTGGAAAGCAGAGAGCTCCACTAACATGATTTTCATGTGGGAATGTGGAAATCCAGCACAACCACATTAACTGGAGGAATTTGCCTCCGATCATTTTTTCCCGAGTGCCTGATAAACAAACCCTGCAGACCCCAGCCGCCTCTCCGGGGACGCTGGCTGCACATTTTCCTCCAAGTGTTTATGGCTTTGCCCTCAAATGCAGCAGATTATTGTTACACCCAGTACCAGCGTGAAGAGTGGATTATGAGTCCTTTAGGCCATTCAAGTACTTTACTAAAAAAAGTATCACTTTATGCCTGTAGAACTTAGAGATAATACCACATTTATCGACAACTAATTCAAGCCAGGATAAAGGAGTGAGCAGACAAAGGCGACAAGCGTTTTCTGAGAGAGAAAGCGCCCCGCTCTGTGGCACCTTGGGTCGGGTGGTTCTTGGTTGTTCGTGAGGGCTCTGGGCCCTGCGTCCCCTAACACCTCTCAGCTGGGCCAGGGGCCAGGCACTTAGGCCCGTTAGGGCTCATTTCCCTCGAATGTGAGTAACGCTGCCGCCCCCAGGGCTCCCCAAATGGACACCATTTTTTAAAAAGCTTTTCAACAGCCTGCAGTTCAGACATTGCTACAACTTTGTCTGATAGACCCCGCAGAGGTTAACCCCACCAGAGCTGCAACGCCATTGGCGTGGAAGCCACGTGTCACTGGGACCACCTTCCCCAGGACCCCGAGGGACCCCACGCTTCTGTTCCTTCCTCCACAGATGTCCGGGGAGAGATGCCGAGAGGAAAAGCTTTATTTGGCTCTCCCACAAAACACCTGACATTCTTACCCTCCCTTTGTGGTTGGGGAGGCTGTGTGGCTCAAATTCTAGCTCTTCTTGTGCCTGCGAGGAGCTGTTACCTTGTATTATGGCCAGGAGGATGACAATTACAAAGAAGAAGAAGGTGATGTCGAAGATGATCCGATAGATCTCATACTCATCGCCCGCCGGGTCTTCAATCTCGTCGCCGATGCCCCCTCCTGCTCGCACGCCAACGTACATGTGGAACATGTAGCACTGCGGAGAGAAACGTCACGTCCCGAGGAGCATGCCTCCCTTCCACACTCCTCAGCCTCGGGGATCTGTGGCTCCGGCCCCTCACTCCGGGGGCCGGGGGGCAGGCGGCGTCCGGCTCTGGCTCCCTGCTTGTGTCAGTGCCTGCAACCGTGATGTGAACGCTCTGCTCTCCTGGGAACAAACGCTGCTCGCCCCCGCCACACCCGCGGACCATGAGAAATGCCTCACTAGCATCCAGCACGAGGCGATCCTTTAACATCACATCAAGAAATGCAGAACTACATTTAATTGCACTGCTCAATCTTTCTGAGCATAACAGGCATAGCAAAGGGAACGTAGGAACCCAATATATAACAAGAAAAACTAGAAATAGCTAGAAAAACCAGACTCAAGAGCATGAACCCTCCCCTCATCTATCTTATATGAATATGCTGAAATACTTTTCTACCTTAGTACCTAGAATAAAGAGGACAGGCAGAGGAAGCAGCAGCTCACCGAGTGAGCCCTGACGCATGACAGCATCCCATGATAAGCAGGGGTGCAGGTGCCCACAGCTGGATAAAGGGGCCAGAAAGTGCTTTGGGGAGGGTTTCCCAGCCCTCCCCAAATACTGTCCGTATTTTGAGCTGGGAAATTCCACGCCGTGGGTTCTGTCCTGTGCACTGCGGAGCGTGTTGGAAGGCTCTCGGGACTCTTCCCCCCGGATGCCGACAGGACGGCACCCAGCAGCCAGCCGAAGCGAGGCCGGATACGGCCACGGGGTCCCCTGGGGCAAACCATGCTGGGCTGAGCGCGCTGGCTTGAGCGCCCCGTTTCTGCCGGCTCAGGACAAGCCCGCCCCCTCTGGCTCGGCTGCCCCGCAGCCACATGCCGCCGTCCGCACTCCCTGCTCCAGGATCCCAGCATCGCCGCCTGCTGGACCCTCGCCTCCCCGCGCTCCACGTCTTTCTGACTCCAGACCCTCACTGGCATGTTCCCCTCTGCCTGCAGTATCTTTATTGATTCTTATCCAACTCCTACTCGCCCTTTAGGCCCTCAATCGATAATCCTTCCATGAAGCCCCGAGACTGTTCCAGACACTGATTTACCCAACGATGCCGCCCACCTATTTTCAAGGGAGTGACCTGCTGTCACGGTGACCAAGGGGCGAAGGCCTGAAGCGGCTTCCCTGCTGAGAGCCGCCCCCATCCCCGGCCCCTTCTCTGTCTCTGGCCCTCCCGCCTCGGCCTCCGTGGCCCCGGCTCCTCGTGTGAACCCGGCCCCAGGACTGGGCTGTCTTGGTCTTTTTCCTTTTAGCACCTTCCACTGGGAAGTTTCCAGTTTCATGCTCAACTAACATTTCTGTGCCAATTGCTTAAAAAAGTTTTTCCTTCCACCTTGGTTTCTTTCCTGAATTCCAGACTTGTATGTCCCACTCACTTGTTTGACGCTTTTCTACCTCACGCCACTAGAACTGGCTCCTTTACAACACGAATGACTTTGGTTACCGCGGGAACGTCAGCGCCAAAGGCAGTGCACAGCATGTGACCGGCCCGCAGGGGCCACTGCAGGACGGAAACAGGGAACAGGCCTCGTGGGCTCGGGTGGCCTTAAAAAGCCAAATGTGGGCCAGAGTTGGCAGCAAGGGGACACCAAGATGCTCTGAGTTCAGCTACATAGTGACACGTGCGGAAAAGTCCAAGTGCCTGGGACTAATGAGCATAATCAATGAAGATTATGTCACTCAGAGAAGAGGCCTGTCAGTTAGGTACACAGCAAACAGTGAGAGTCGTGGGGCAGCTCTGCCCCTGCCCCCTGCCCCCCGCCCCCCGCCCCCTAAGCTGAGCTGGACAGGGTCCCTCCCACAGGGAGCCAGATGGCCGGCCCTCTGGAGACACCGGCGAGGCCGACGGTGCCTTGACCTGACTCCACAGCCGGGTCCCGTGGAGACCTGAACACCCAGATTCCCTGTAATGCCCACAGCGTCAGACTCTGGAAGTAGCCACCTTAAAAAGAACTAAGCATTAATTTATGAGACCTGCAGCTCTAAAACAGCGCTTGAAGCGATGAGCAGGGAGCCTGCTGGGGGAGGAGTCTCGCCCTCCTCACTGGACGCTCTTGTGCAGCGCTGAGGCTGCTGTCACCGGACATGCGTATTACTGAGGAAAATGGGGGTGGCGCACTTTCTTCAAACCCATCTTCAGAGGAATTAACTGGGGCCACAGGAGGCAGGCGGCATCGTTGTGGCGGCGGCCTGGCCTTTACTTCAGTGACTAACAGCGGCCGCTTTCCCAGCTGCCAGCTCTGCTGTGCTCACAGTCGCTCTTGGGCAGGGGACGCAGTTCGGGCAACCCGCCCGGCCCTGGCCTAGCCCAGCTCAAGCCCCACTGGGCTCCCAGGTCTCTGCATGGACGCCCACGGTGGCCTGGGACGTCCCAGCTTGCCAGGCCCTGACTGGCTGACGTGTGTGTGACTGAGACCATGCAGCTGATCCCTCCTGCTAATTCCTGACCAGGACCTGGGGTTATGATTTGGCTTCCCACGTGGAGCTCTTCCGTAGGGCGGAGGATGCGTGGGCCTGTGGCAGGGACTCTTAGCGAGCAGAGTGCTGGCATTCTGACGCCTGCGTCCAACTCTGAGGAGCCTGGTTAATGTGAGTCCATCCTCAAGAGAATGAGTCACTTTTTGTTTCTGATGTAGAAGTGAAGAAGAAACCAGGGGCTGAGGCTAAACTGCTAAAGCAAATGTGCGATCTTTGCAGATCTCTGTCTGCCCCTCGCCTCACCTGGCCACTGCCCATGCCCCTGCACACCTTCACCCTGTGGCGGTTCTAAGGGCTTCAAGGGAGGAACCTCACTGTGTTTCAGCAATAGGCTGATGGCCGGGCTGAAAAGCGAAGTACTGCCTCGTGGATTTGGTTACTGAGGCTCAATAAAACACTAGTGTTCAGGGAATGAATGCACAGCTCGCCTGGGGGTTCTGGGGCCGACACCCCGACCCGCTCTCTGCAGCCTGGGCCTCCCAGAGCTGCAGGGAGGAGGCTGCCTGGGGCGTGCGGCTGGGTGGGCAACGCCCCCACCCTCCCCCCATGGGGCTGCCGCCCCAGCCACCTGGTTAGCATTCAGGTCTGAAAATGGAAACTTCCAACCACCTTTCTCTTCCCAGAATCAATGTAAACCTGGTAAAAAAAAAAAAAGGGAAAAAAAGGCGGCGGGGAGGGGACCAGGGAGACGTAGTTCTGAGGAGCAGAAATGAACACCTTGTCCACAGAGTGCGGTAAAGAGGCAAAGAGGGGGCTAGTGCCACACAGACCGGGCAGCCGTTGTTCTTCGGGTTCACGGGCTCACAGCCTCCCCACGAAGCCCCTCCTGCGCTGCGGGGGTCGGGGTGTGGGGACTGATATCCCTGCTGCCTAGAGGGCACAGGAGGGCGGCCAGTGTCTGCTAACGGTCGGTGAAGATCTTTATAAGACCTTACACCTTAGGAAAAAAGAGAGAAGAGACACAGAGGCTGAGAGGGTAGGCGAGAATGAAGTGGAGAGACCGACCGTTTGCTGGACGGCAGCGTCAGCGAAGTGACTGCGAACAACTGCCCGGGGACCGTGCGTCCTGCCTCAGCCACCGGGAAGCTGCTCCCAAAACATGCAGGTCTGGGGGTCCTCCTGGCGGCGTCCGGTTCCGGGGGCGTGGGTGGACTTAAGCGCTGCCCTGGTGGCTCCTCTGGGCCTCCAGGGGGAGGCCCCCGCTTTCGAGGTGGACGCCCTCACCCAGGCCGACTCAGCCTTCCTGGCTCTCTAGCTACAATATACTTTTGCCTTAGGTTTTAGAACTTTAGATTATTTTTCACTCTCTTCTCCTACCATCCTCCAGATAGCTTTAAATTCCATCAGAATACTGTCGGTTTAATTAGATTCCCAGGCTCAAAACACCATGATCCTAAGTAACTAAATAAGTAAGGAAAGAAAGAAATGAAAATGTGAGTCACCGAGTCTGCAAAACTGGGGCGACTGCGCCACCTGCTGTAAGGCATGAAGCACTGCAGGGTCACTCCGTCCCTGCAGAAACCTGCAACGTCCCTTCAGACCCCGAGAACAGCCCAAAACAGCCACAATGGAAACTCAGGGTGCTGTGGATACAACGTGAAGTGAGTGAGGAGAGCCCAGCTCAGTGAGTGCTCCGGGCTTCACCTGCAAGAGACAATGCGAGGAGACCGGCTCAAAGCCAGGGTTTGCTTTTCCAGAACTGAATTAAAGAAATGACACCTGCCGCTGGCCTCCGATTTCTGAGCACAACCAAAAGCGACCCGTAATAGCTCAAACACGGCTGGCTTTTCAATACCTCACTGAACAGGCATTAGTAGGAGGCAAAATAAATACATAAATAAGTAGGGGATGCTGGATCAAGACTACTTTACCTGGCGAGCCTGGCATTTAAAATGGGTGGAAAAACAAAGAGCTTCCCAGAGAGGAAAAGCTACAGGAGTCCATCACTACCAAACCAGCCTTGCAAGAAATGTCAAATGGGCTTCTTTAAGAAGAAGAAAAAAAGAACAAAAAGGGAGCATCGATACGTAAAATAAAATGGCAATAAATAGGCATCTATCAATAATCACTTTATGTAAATGAATTAAAGACTCCAATCAAACAAGATGCAGATATAAGCCTACAAGAACATCACTTCAGAACAAAAGATACACACAGACTGAAAGTAAAGAGATGGAGAAAGATATTTCATGGAAATGGAAATTGGAAAAAAAAAGCTGGGTAGCAAACTTGTTTCAGACAAAATAGACTTTAAAACAAAGGCTATAATAAGAGACAAAGGAAGACATTTCGTAATGATAAGGGCTTCAATCCAACAAGAGGATATAACCCTTGGAAACACGGATGCACCCAACATAGGGGCACCTAAAGATAAAGCAAATAGCCCTGACCAGGTTGCTCAGTTGGTTGGAGTGTTACCCTGTACAACAAATGGTCGCAGGCTGGGTTCCCGGTCAGGGCAGATGCCTAGGCTACAGGT